TAAACCGACAGGCCTCTCCGACTAGTTAACACGGCGAATAGAGCTCTCGCCACGTAGTGTTAAGCGAGATGGGAACTTGTGGCTAAGACCTTATGAGGGCATAATTACTAGGAGGTACTCAAGCATCTGCCTTTAGATAAAATTAGCAAATTGAGGCTTTTTTCTACTCGATCAGTACTTGTACTAGTAGTGATTGATCTATTCTATTTGATCAACTGTCTACTTTTCACGTCTTCAATATAGTCCATTGCACATCTGAAGACTCATTACTTTTAATACTTACAAGGCTTACAGGTTACACTCACTCACGTACTGAGACCCCGTTTCAGTTTTTGCAACGGAACTGTTGATAGCCTAGGCCTTACCGCAAGAGTAAATGATAAAACTTCCTGGGTGAATCACTTCAGAAAGAATGCTCAATACGATGAACATTAGAACGTTTCGTGATTCCTGTTTCATTGGCGTTTCGTTACCATAGCATAACTAACGGACAACGTCGCACTGCGCAGCAAATGGCTAGGCGATGTCTAGCATAGACATCGCTTGATGAGTGATTCGTATCATCGCCATCGGGGCACGATCGCCATCGGCCCGATCGACATCCATGATCATTCACACCAATCTTACCAAAACAAAAACTTCATGAGGTGGCGCCAGCAAAATTCATGCTGGACACTCCCGCTAAGTTCTTTTCTTACTTGCTGCTACATACAGCTTCGTGTCGATAACTTCAATGCTCGCTCTCTGATCTTCTATTACTAATCTTACATACCTAATAACATCTCTCTCACCTACTCTGAAAGCACGCAACGAACACACAAGCAATTATACGCTATGGCGGCCCGTACCTGCCTGAACGCCCTCTTATCACGCACGACACACTCTTGTACACACTGACTATGTGATTACTCGTTCGACATGCGATTCGCTATCGACTCGTGTAAAATAAAATAGCAACAAAAAAAACATCAATCCAGACCAATAACTATCATCACGACACTTCTCGCCATAACAACCACTCACGCGACTCAGTGACAATGCGTATCTCTTTTTACTAGCACTAAAAACAACACAAACACTACTAAACAAGCCTAAACACACACTTTACGTATAAGTATCGACTATCACCTAATAAAGCCATTTCTTTATACATCATGTACTCTTCTCTTCTTTTAGTACACTGCGGAGACTGGTACAGCCAACGATAGGATTTAATTGGTTTCACGGGTATTTTTTTTTAAGTTTTTTGAGTTGATTTATATCCGAATGATTTGATAGTCATAACACACACATATATATATATATATATTAAGCGCTAATGATTGGTGGCGGGTCAATGTTTCGAAACTGTGCGAACGGGGCATTGGCGTGCAGACAAATCAAAGAACAGTGCCGTAAATCGTGATGGCTGTTTCAAAATATCAGAGTGAGAGTGGGACACACAGGCGGCCGCTATGTGGCCTACCTACCTCTAGTACCATGCACCCAGTTCGTTGGCCCGTGACAGCGCATAATACTGTGCTGGTCTCTGTTGCGGGCTGCTACTGTGTTTGCTCCCATGCCGCAAGAGACTTAGCGAGGTCAACGGAATCATCAACATGGATTTCATAACGCAGTTCTGATGTATATAGAGGCGTTTTCCGGATGTTTGTATAAACGAGTTTTTTTAATTCGTTTACAATAGAATCGAGGCCCGTATCCACACGCTCGCTACATTTGCCAGCAGGCTTGCTTGCGTGTTAGTTTATAACAGGGGAGGAACGTGTGCGGTTGAACCTGCTTATTCTGCGCGTAGGATATTGGGCGCTGCGTACCTATTTGTGCGTCAAAATTTATACACAAAAATATATTAATAATCGCGCAACATACGCGTGTTTTATAGGCAACCCCGTGACATACACATGCGCGTACCTGCAAACCCCAAGCCAACCGCAAGATTTCTTCGCCTTTTGCAGGTAAAACTCGGCGAAACGCGGGCGGCTCGTCGAGCAACGCGCGCCATCTCGCGGCAGAAATGGGATTCAAACGAGCGCGCACGGACTCGGGAGCTGCGTGCATAGAGTTCGCTGCGCATCGTCGTGAGATGATGATGGGACTCGATCATCTGCGAGCCGATCACCTGCTACTAGACGGTTAGCACTCGTTCACATGTCTCAAAAGGACGACCGCTACGTGGCAGCACTAGTCTTAGCATTAGAGTTTCGTTCTGGCGTAGCATCACTTCCTGAGTCGGAGTAACCAATGTGCCTAACCCTAATTCTAACCCTAACCCTAACCCTAACCCTAATCCTAACCCTAACCATAACCCTAACCTATTATATTAATATAATATTATATTTATATTGATGTAAATGACATTGGTTTTATTGGGATACATGTTCTCTATCCTTGAACCGAAACGCCTATGAACTGAACTATGGCGAAGGAACTGGTGCTACGCTGGAGCGAGAGGTGACTAGTGCGAAGTGACTAGTGCTGCCACGTAGCGGTCGTCCTTTTGAGACATGTGAACGAGTGCTAACCCTACTAGACGTGACACTCGTGGCTGAGGGTTGCGAGCAGTCAGCGCACAAAGCCGTGCTCGCTGCATGCAGTGACTTCTTCCGCGCCATGTTCACAACGCGGCTTTCTGGAGGCGGTGGCGGTGACACGGCGAAGATACATCTGAACGGAGTGACGGCGAACGGACTGCGCATGCTCGTCGACTTTGCCTACACGTCGCAGTTGTCGCTGTCGGCCGACAACGTCGACGACGTGCTCGCCGCAGCCGACTTTCTGCAGATGCCGCGCATCACGAGCGCATGCGCGAAATACCTGCGCGCCCAGCTGCGACTGTCGCGTGCCCTGGCGACGCTGAACGTTGCCGAGCGCTACTCGCTGCCACTACTGCAGCAACACGTCTATCAGTTTCTCTGCAACTCGCTGACGGCGTTCGTCGATACGGAGCACTTCGTCTTGCTCAGCGTCGGCCAGCTGTGTCGCATGCTGGACGGTTCGTTCCCAGTCGACTGCTCAGAGGAGGTCGTTCTGCGCATGGTCATCCGCTGGATCGCCCACGACAAGGTGAACCGCATCGTCTACGCGAAACAACTCTTCGAGGCGGTCAACTACGAGAGCATCGCTGCCGAAAGCCTCGCCGCGCTGGCCCTCGCCAACGGACTCTTCCGCCAGGTGGCCGACCAGTTGCCCGTCGCTGGCAGACGGCGCTGCGTCGACGCGTACGCCGACGACGAGTCCGTGCCGTCGAATCGACGCGGTCTCGAACGCTGCATGGTGACAATAGGCGGGTTTTACGCCGGAGAGATCACGAACAAGATAATGTTCTACGACGCTGCCGCCGCCGCCGACGATGGCGACGACGGAGGCTGGAAACTGCTGACGGCGATTCCACACGTCGAGCAGTGTAACTACGGCGTCGCCGTGCTGCGCAATAAACTCTACGTCGTCGGCGGCTGCTTCAATCAGTCGCTACAGGAGAACATACATCCGTTCGGTTTCGCGTACGATCCGCGCGCGGACCGCTGGACAACCATATCGCCTATGACGCAGGAGCGATGTCGATTCTACCTCGGCATGGTCGGCAGCAAGATGTACGCGATAGGTGGCGCTGAGGAGGCGACGAACGCCGCGCTCGAAGAGTCATCGTCGTCGTCGACGTGCGAGTGCTACGATCCGGATGCAGACCGATGGAGTCCGATACGCCCCCTGCCGAGCCGAAGAGTCCAACATGGCGGCGCCACGTGGAGAAATCTGCTGTTCGTCTGCGGCGGGCTGGAAGAAGACTGCGTCACGGACTCGCTGCTCTGCTACGATACATCAACGGACGTTTGGGAGGAGAAGGCGGCCATGTTGCGTCCGCGGGCCGACCACTGCGTTATACTATACGAGAGCAGGTTGGTCGTCGCCGGAGGTTGGTACGAGGACGAGCTAACGGGAACGCGAGTTATCGCCAACACGTTAGACTGTTACGACATCGAGACGGACACGTGGACGGTGGTGAGTCGCGTGCCGACGCCACGTTACCACGGCACGATGCTGCAACACGAACACAAGATCTACATTACGGGCGGGTTCACCGAGCAGCGACGGCCGACGAGAAAGATCGAGTGCTACGACCCGGAGAAGGACGCGTGGACGGTGGAAGGCGAATATCCCGACGACATTTGGGAGCACTCGTCCAGTACGCTCTATGTCCCGTGTTGCACGACGAAGCATTGATATGCTCTTCATCTGTTTGTGAATAGGCGCGTACGTTACACTCTTTAATACCCGCCATACAATATCCGACTATATAAACTTGCGTATTTTGTCAATATACATAAAATTTCGCCGTACAACGAGAACAAATGAGCTTGCGTATTTTGTCAATATACATATAGTTTCGTCGTGCAACGAGAACGAAGTATGCATAATAATGAAATTTTGTAATTATGTAATAACGGAAATGTACCTTTCCTTAGATTCGCTTATTACGCACTCGACCTGGAACATTAATAGTCAACGTAATGTAATAATTATAATTATTGCAATTTATAATAATATAAATGTGTTCCACATTAAATATCGCACTTATTATATCATCATCGCTGAATATATCCTACTATATAAATTATGTTATGTATGCCTATGTTCTAAATTGTTATTAATTATGCATCCAATTAACAATGCAAGCCAATGAAATACATATATGTTTAATTGCATTATTTTGCTTTTTAATCGAAAAAAACAATTACCAATCGTGTGTGAGAGAGAGAGAGAGAGAGAGAGACTCAGAGAGGTGTGTGTGTGTGTGTGAGAGAGAGAGAGAGAGAGAGAGAGAGAGAGAGAGAGAGAGAGA